GTCTGTAGGTATGTAGGTTGGCAAATGCGAATAAACGAACGATCGTGGGTAGTCTTTATCGAATCGACTTGTTATCTACGTTCTAATTGCAAGCTGTTACATGCTACGTTGTATCTAATATCTATATATGTGTGTATGTGTATATGTGTGTGGGTTCGTTTCATTGGACGTTCTAGATCGATGAAAAAAATAAAAGAAAAAAGTAAAAGAAAAAACGAAACAAAATTGAACGTAGAAGATTAGGACCTGGCTTTTGAAGTATCGAAAATCGTTCGCGGGGTTGTTGGTTTCATCTTTCTCTCTCTTACTCTGTTAATCTTTTTCTTTTTCTTTCTTTCTCCCTTTCGCGATTCTTTTATCTTTTCGTCACGCTCGATGCTCACGGCGGGCCGCCAACTCTCCGACTTCCTTTCTTTCGATAGACCGACACAGATAACGCTCGAAATATACGTTTTGCTCGCCTCGTTTACGAACGAAATTATCTTTCAACACACATTTTTTTTTTCTGTTCTCTTACTTTAATATTAACTTCGTGTTACCCTCTATTTTTTGTCAATTAGAATAACCACACAGATAAAAATGTATATGAAGAGAATGTCAAGATTCACATGGTGATCGTTTGGTGAATGTCCGAAATATTAATGGATTGGAATGAACCCAAATATTCGGTCTTTCACTGACGTATTTGGCACGTATTGACATTTCACCATGTTAATCTTAACATTCTCCAATTACAATCTTTTACGATAAACATATATATAGGTACTATCATTCTATAAATGAATTATAGTTTTAGTAGTTTCAAAAGGAAAGTTACTTATTTTTCTATCGTTTGTATTCTCAACGAATAATACAGTATACTTCCGTAGAATAAATTAATAATATAACAGTATATAAAATGAGAAAGAAAAAAAGAAAGAAAGAAAGAAAGAAAAAAGCAATATCGAAACAGAAGAAATCGGTAGAAATGAAAACAACAATGTAATGCATATTGAGTTCAGCAAAAACCTTTCGAGTGCATCAGCTCGGCACGGCCATTCATGAATTTACATTTCTTTAATTTTTTTTTTCTTCTTTTCTTGTTATTATCAACCAAAATTGATTGATGGTTATTTCAACCCTTACTTCACTATTGTATATATATGATATATACAACGTATAATTAATACAATTGCATCAATTGTTCCTTTACTGACCTCACCACTTATCTTAAGTTTCTTTGAATTTTTTTGAAACCATGTGAAAACTATTGACAAAGAGAACGTCAAATTATTCTAATGTATGTTTAAAATTATATTCTAGATTTTTATTTAAATTCTATATATTTTTTCTCCCTCTTCTTCTTCTAATACCATACCTTTTACAACTATCCTTACAAAATTATTACATAAAGAAACTTAAACAGAGTAGAGAAAATGAAATGTTAGTCCTGGGTAATGATATAATGATACGAGTTAACGCGTTAATAGAAAATTCTTAGTTCGTTATGGGGTTTTACGGTAATAAATAATGATAGAACTCGCCGAACGTGCCAAAGTATCTTCGCGAAGGGAACAAAAAAAAAAGAAGAAAAAAAGGAAATTATGGAGAAGTGTGTCCTGTATATGTGTGTATGTATGTGTGCATGATGGCCGGTCGATGAACCGGCTTAGAATTTCTCCTTTTCCCCCATTCAACTCCAACCAACCCCTTCACCCCTCTCTCCCTCCCTCCTTTTCCCGATTCGCGGTGTCGTTTTGTTGAATGCCGCGAACATACGTGGACAATGGTCCTCTAATGACGCATACTTTGACACGGTGCGTTAAAAGAGATGCGCTGTTCTCGGTGTCATTTGTTAGGAGGAGTTTTCAGTTGTCCCCCTCTCCATTCCTTTTCTCACCCCTTTTCAAAAAGGACGACAATATCCGTCATTTTTCATTGGATATCCTAATACGACCCGTTTGTTGTGTGTTTCCACGAAGAAAATAATTGTACAGAGAGAGAACTTTGATTATTTATCATCTATCGGGAAAGGGGAGGGGAGAGGGAGGGCTTTTCAACTATACACGCCTGCCGCTTTGCCATTAACATAAGATTTTTCTATAAAAAAATAAAAATACGCGACATTACGTATGCATTTATATATATGAGTATGAATGGTTTTGATCAACCGGTTTTGTATCATCGATTTTACGCGTACACTCATGTTCGATCATTTCTAAAAAAAAATAAAAGAGAGAAAGAAAGAAAATAGATAATTTGTTTTGTTTATAACTTGAAGAGATGTAAATTAATCGTTTTTAAATATTACAATAATTTAAAAACTAATTAAACTAACTAAAAAATTAATTTAATTTTAATAATAAATAAAACTATTTTAGTAGCAATTGTTTTTTTTTTGTATTATATATTTAAATTATAATATTTAAATTTTGAAATATAATTTATATTTTATTATAATATTAATATTTAAATATACATATTATTTTCTATCATTAATTATTAATTTAAAATAAAATAGTGGGAATTTTTAATATTTCCATAAAGTAGAAGGTACGATCTTCTGATTTTAACAAATATTTTTCATTCTGAAGTTGCAGTTATTAAAAAATAAGATTTTTTCTTATTAGAAAATCTGGAAAGAATGAGTTACGAAAGTGAGAGGATTCTGTATATTTTAATTAAACTGCTACCTTCTAAAGCAAGAAGTAATAATCACAAATCATGTATTTACTTAAATAATACACATATACATATATATATATATATATATATATATATATATATATATATATATATATATA